AATGAAATTGAATTCCAGCTCAATAACAATTTTCTTATATTCAGTTAATTCTGATTTTCTGTTTTTATGCATGTTTTGTTCTTTCATCACGGCAGTCAACTATTGCTTAATACCATTCAATAACACATATTCCAGATAGTTTTATAGGCTTTTATTTGATATGCATTCAACTGGACAAGATTGTTACATCATCTACAGTTAGGGGCATTTTACCTCACATCAATGTAGATATATAAAAAAAAAAATACCGAACTGGGGAAAAATAAACAATTCAAGAAATACATGCATACAAAATTAATCAGCGTTTCTTAAACCTAACAAAATTTATATGGTCAATTACAAGGACACCACAGGCCAAATGACAGGATCAACACTTTAAAAGCTTATGAATGAACTCCACATTTAGTGACATCAACCTGAAAGATACAATTAAAGATCAGTACCACTGCTGGTAACAGAACAGTCAGCTGGCCATCTGCTTCCAGCAGCTTTTAGAAGACTTTGTGCAACACCTGAGAAAATGTCATCTCCCTAACTTTTTCATTCCATCCCATAATCTCTTACGTCAAGCTTCTCCGAGTAGCTGTGATTTCCTGGCAAATGAAATTGAATTCCAGCTCAATAACAATTTTCTTATATTCAGTTAATTCTGATTTTCTGTTTTTATGCATGTTTTGTTCTTTCATCACGGCAGTCAACTATTGCTTAATACCATTCAATAACACATATTCCAGATAGTTGTATAGGCTTTTATTTGATATGCATTCAACTGGACAAGATTGTTACATCATCTACAGTTAGGGGCATTTTACCTCACATCAATGTAGATATATAAAAAAAAAAATACCGAACTGGGGAAAAATAAACAATTCAAGAAATACATGCATACAAAATTAATCAGCGTTTCTTAAACCTAACAAAATTTATATGGTCAATTACAAGGACACCACAGGCCAAATGACAGGATCAACACTTTAAAAGCTTATGAATGAACTCCACATTTAGTGACATCAACCTGAAAGATACAATTAAAGATCAGTACCACTGCTGGTAACAGATACAAATGCTTAAATAGCACACATTTGGTTAGGAAACATCTGGTAAAGATTGAGAAATTTTGGTTGAATCATGGATGATTCTAAGGGTGTATTCACACCAGGAAAGTCCGCTAGTTGACTTGCTTTGGTCCGGACCAAAAACAATGTTGATTTTTTTTGTTTGGTGTGGTTTGCTTTTACACTGCCCTTTTTGCAAGTGAACCAAAAATTGTAAACAAAACCACACGTGTGCTAAGGTCATCCATTCATTGGACAGAAATTCTCAAGCATACCAGAGTTTACAAAAATATCTGCAGTGGATGTGCTGCTTTCGAACAATTTTCCTGTGGTATGCGATTTAATGTTTTAATCAAAGCGAGGATTGCTTGGCACATGACAATTCCGCTTTAAATTGTGTTCTAAATAGCAAAACTCATGTTCTGAGAAAATACTTTTGCGCGAATAATAATGATCATTTTTGTGAACTTGACTTTGTCTGATGGCTTTGGAACATAGACGGTAACGACAGACATAAGGATGCACTTGTTGATCAAACAGCCCATTGGCTGGTTTGATGACAGTACTCTAGAACCTCTGTTCACAGGTGTCGTGCACCGACATGATAACCCCCTTTCGTGCTCTTCCCAATATTGTGACAAACACCATATTTAAAAGATAGAATTTGAAGGAAACTGTAAAATGTGCGTTTTATTTTCAAAATGTTTTGTTATTGACGCGGTGACTCGGACAGCTATTTACACTGCAAAAAAAATAAAGCCTATCTCTTTCCATAAAAATATAGGCTATAAACATTCTAAAATATATGTTTACCTTTTAGGCAAATTGCATAAATTAGAATAGTGATGACTCAAAACGCATTTATAGTCCTTATCTCATATTTTCCTAATGTATTCCTACCATTAACTGCGTTAAACATGGTGTCACATGGAAATGATATGCAGATGACGTTATGTATATTAAAACTAGGCATTGTAAGCTCTATAAATGGCTATTTCGGGGAGGAGACGGCGTGGAGATTCATGTACGCACAATTTTCCACTGACTGGGTAATAACAAAGGGAATTTTGCGCAGGTTCTGGCTTACGCATGGCTTTATAAATCTGAAAACTTGGACTGATATTGATAACATTAAGAAGTCTCTTGGATACTGACATGACCATGGATATATTGTGCATCCCTACTACAGCCTTTTTTTGTCTAGATTTCTCCATGAAGTTCACACAATACATAGAAGGAGACACAACAAGAAAGGGTGAACTAAAATGGTGACAGACATTTCGGTACATCTCTATTTCCATATCGTTCACATGTAACTTGCATGCTTACAAACACAATCTGCTATAACAAGCTTCAGATTTCTAACTAGTCAGCCAGAGGTTGAGGATTTGTGTTCTTTACATAGCAGAGTTTAACAAACATAATGAAAGGAGTGGGTGTCTGCAGGTGTGTTTACCTGACCAGATCTCTCCAGGATGGTGATCAACGCAGAAGCTTTTTTCCAGTCCTCTCGTTACCAGGGTTACCTCCTGAGTAAAGACATGGACGCATTTACATAAAGAGTGAATGATTTCATTCTCACAATTCTTACTGCATCTGTCATTTCACAGTCACAACTTTCGCTGCTTCACTCACCCTGCTCGGCCTGTTCTCCCGATGCGGTGCACATACTCCTCCACATTCCGAGGGAAGTCATAGTTGAACCCATGCGTGATGTCATGAACATCTAGCCCACGTGAGGCCAGGTCAGTTGCCACCAGAATACGCAAGCGACTTTTAACAGCAGCCACAGACGGGCAGATCTCACAGATCAATTTCAGTTAAACTCTTTAAGGGCTCGGTACAATCGCTGACTACACCGAAAGTAGTCATAGTTGTAAAGTATGCATTTACTGTGCCACTAGCCAAACCGTGTTGCTTTGAGTAGCTGGACAAAGGGCTGGGCGATATGGGCAAAAAATTCATATCACTGTAATTTTTGGCCGATTTGCGATATACGGTATTATATCTCGGTATTTTCGTTTTTGTATTTAAAAAAAAATCTGTATTTAATATATATATATATATATATATTTATTTCACTTACCGCCCAATGTTCTCCAACAAAACAATACATATTAAAGGCTATGAAAACAAATAAAGTGAATGTAACCATGTATGCCTTTATATTATGTGCAAAAAAGGTTAAAATCCCATTTCATTCTAACATTGCAATCTAAAAACAATAATAAGGCTTTTAAAGCGGAAGTTAAATTCACTAAACTAAAAATGAAAATAAATGAGAACAAAAGTACAGTTGTGTTAGGCTATTGATTACCCCATTACAGTCACTTTACAGTCAGTGCTATCATAAAAATAGACTTACTTGTAGGTTTAAAATTCTACATATCACATTTATTGTCCAACAACAAATATTTCAGCGAAATGTATATTTAAATCAGAATTATTGCGCTTCTATTTAATTGAGCTCTGTCTGTTTGGCGCGCATGTGCGCGGCGGTGCCCGTTCACTGAAGTTTGTGAAGTTTAGCGGAGAATCTCAAAGCAGAAGGCTCATGCACTTCTGACAGAAAAATTGAAATATTTCCATGGCTTTCTAACATTTACAAATGGAGAATATACCTGTGAAATGTAATGCATTCAGGAAGACAGCACATCTCAAACACATTAAACAGCGCGAGTAGCCTAGTGTCTCTGTCAGTGGCACCTGCAGCCTTTCTGTCAGAGCGTATGACGGACCGAGCCGCTTAAACTAATATGCGAAACGAAACTATAAACGATGTCTTACCAGTTTTTAAAGGCTTTAATATAAAGCTTGTCACGTGTTTAGAACTAATTGGATCATGCACTTTCTCTGCAGCAGCTCAGTCTGTGACCTCCGCTATATTTTCAGCTGCGCCTGTATCAAACTACTGTATATCGATATAAACAGTATTGACTCATATCGAATCGCTTATAAAGAAAATATTGATATATCGTACAAACTCGATATACCGCCCAGCCCTAGCTGGACAACAACAACATTGACTGAACCAAAGGACTGAGTTTGGAACTACCTGTTTTGTCTAAAGAAAAATGGGGTCATTTTTACAATTCTGGTGTTGTTGGTTTGAGGACGAACGATTCCATAAACAGCACATCTAGAGTAGAAACAATCTTTGCTGCTAGTAAAACTATTAAAACCATCCACATTACATCAGGCTCTTGCAGCATTTAATCAAATTATGGAAATGCCACATCAGGATCTAGCTTGTTCTGAATCAGATTAAGCACTAAACCATACCGTGAAGTACCTTTTCCAAAGTGAGTATTTGGTTTTAATGTTTGCACAACTGTTGAATGACCACAAGAGCAAAACTTATGGTTTTTAACGTAAGTGAAAACAAAAAAAAATTATGGCCACATATTAAACGGCCACTCCCTCTGACAATGGAGAAATGCATAGTTTCATTTTCAGAAAAGAGCAGCTTTTCCCCACAATCCCTTGAACTCTTACTTTTCTTGAGCACATGAATGGATGGGCACAGACTGATTACCACATCAAGTGATCATAATAGAAATGACATCACACAATACCATTTCAGTAGAACTTGAAAGTGTGCTTGCAATCATTCCTCCCATATCCTGCTTCATGGAATCAAATGAAGGTTATTCTCATAAGTTTCATTCTGAGAAACTCACTTTACTTTCTTTCCAACAAATATTAGTACTTTGTCCTGAGGCTCCATCTGGTCGATGAAGTAAAAAATTATGGCTTTCTTTTCTTCCTCCTGCACGAACAGAACTGTCTGATGAACAGTGTTTACTGTCTGAGGGAGACAGAGATGCAGAAAGGGAAATAACTGGGGACTTTTAATAAGGAGGTTAAACAGAAAAGCTATATTTGACCTGGTATTTGTACATTACCCATTATAAATACATACTCTGCTGCAACCGTTCACTCACTGCTAGATCTAAGGTGCCCACATAAACCATCATGGGGTCTTTCAGGTAGGACTTGGCCAGCCGGCTGACACCTGTTGGCCAGGTGGCACTGTAATACAAATAGAGAAAAATAGATAATATTCATACAAATATTGAAATTTCATGACAAAAGCATTCAAAACTCTTGAAAAAATATTAGCCCTGATTCTGCATTTAAAGGATAGTTCACACTGCACCGACAGACACCGACCAAAGGCAACAGATACGTTTATCGAGTTTGATAGATCAGTGTTTAAAGCATGTCAGCGTCTGACTGTTCTTTTATTTATTTATTTTTTTCTCAGGCATTCCACAACCTGAAAAATGCAGAGTGATGTTCAATCTGGGTTGTCAGGCCGTGGGTAGTCTGAGAAGTGACATACTTACATTTTGTGATTGTCTGCATTGGTTGGCGTTTGACAGTAAATTTGTGAATTAGCCTTAAAATGAACTGTAACTTAATACCCCTTTAAACGTTTTTTTGAGCAACAAACAATGTAATGCAACAGTCAAATCAGACAAAAAAATCTGTCAAATCCTTCCATATACCATTCAAAAGAATCAAACCACTGAGCAAATCACCTAGTCATAACAGTTTGTCTGTCAGGTCGAATATCCAGAATGATTTTCATGATTTGAGGTTCAAAGCCCATATCCAACATTCTATCAGCTTCATCCAACACCTGCAACAGGGGGTAAAACAAAAGACACAAATGTTTACAAAATTTAAATCTAGCTTTTAAAAACAGTTTTGTTTTTTTTAAATGCTCACAAAAATGCACAAAATCACATCCGTTACCAGCCCAATATGCATTTTTGTCATTAATGTACCAGATAGGTGACGGAGCGCAAGTTGATGAGCTCATCTGCAGATCATTTATCATCCTGGTGTAGCAATGACTATGTCCACACCACTGGTCGGTCACTACTTTAATCTGGGCCTTTCTGTCACCTCCTCCATAGATACAGATGTTACAATAATAAAAGTAACTTTGAGCAAACAGACAAAGAAAGCAGGATGAATTCTTAATGTATGTTGCATAACATTATGATTTATTTAGGGTACTGGCTACAGCACCTTTTAAATCCTTTGTAGCTATATTTGTTGCATTCAGCTTCAATCTGGAGGGCCAGCTCACGAGTGGGAGTCAAAACCAACATGCCAGGGCCATCTCTCTTGTCCCTTGGTCTACAGTGTAAATAAATAAATATTTTGTTAATAAAAAGATTGAATGTTGAGCACTGACACTCTCAAGTGCACACTGGATTGGGAATAGTTATTTTTCCCCATCTTTCAAATAATCAATTTTTTGGATTAAATTTTTTTTACTTTTTTGGGTTTAGAAAGAAATGAGTGAATAAATTATTCAACTTATTTTAAAGGGGTCATATGATGCTGCTAAAAAGAACATTATTTTGTGTATTTGGTGTAATGAAATGTGTTTATGCGGTTTAAAGTAAAAAAAAAACACATTATTTTCCCCATACTGTACATTGTTTCTTTTTGAAACGCGTCGATTTTTACAAAGCTCATCGCTCTGAAAAAGCGAGGTGTGCTGTGATTGGCCAGCTATCCAGTGCGTTATGATTGGCTGAATATCTCAAGCGTGAGATGTAAATGTTACGCCTCTCACATACTGTTGATGCCGGATTCCGGCCGGAGCGATGAGACAACATTAAAACCCATTACAAACGAGGCATTTTTTGCATCCAGTGGGGACATAATTACTGATGAGAAATTACAAGCTACAAGTGCTACTCTACACTGCCCAAAACTCGCGTTTGAATCATCAGTGGCAAATCCTTTAAATGAAAACGTACTTACATGAGTCAGAACTGCCGGCATTGTAGTCAACTCTACCAGGACCAGTAAACAGTCCTCCATAAAATGTGCTGCACACATCTGGATATTTGGGTTGAAGTGTTCTGGAACAGTGTGGTAAATACAACTTAACCACTGATTTGTAGTCGTGTCCTCTTTTGGAAGACCAAACAAAGTAGTGTAGCTTTCACAACGAAAAACACAGCGGCCTAGCGTGAGCCGAAGCCCCGGCTTAGCATGCGCTGAGGCCGGGCTAGCGTGAGCCGAAGAATAGAGTGAGCTGAGGCGGCGGAGTCGAGAACGGCGCACCCGGCAAATGCGACGAATGAGCGGCAACCACATGTGACGGACCCCGGGCTGGACTACGCTTTGTCCACGTTGAAAGTTGATGTATTCCCTTAGCGACCAGCACAGATAAGCTCTAGGCATGACGAAGTGGATATCGTCCTCTTTTGGAAGACCAAACGAAGTAGTTTCACTTTCACAACTAAGCACACAGCGTACATGGCTGCAGCGTCATTTGGATTTGAGACTTTAGTCTTTGCAACTTTACAGATCTTCTTTATGCACCAAGAGCTTGTAACTCTCTTTGGAGTGTTCGCATCATATGACCCCTTTAAATGGACTATGCCTTGCATTTCAACAAGTCCAAACAGTTTTAGGCTGCTCAAGGTGTGACGGGCTAAAATTAAAGGAACACTCCACTATTTTTTGAAAATAGGCTCATTTTCCAACTCCCCTAGAGTTAAACAGTTGAGTTTTTACTGTTTTCGAATACATTCAGCCGATCTTCGGGTCTGGCGGTAGCACTTTTAGCTGCAGCTTAGCATAGATCATTGAATCTGATTAGACCGTTAGCATCTTGCTCAAAAATGACCAAAGAGTTTCGATATTTTTCCTATTTAAAACTTGACTCTTCTGTAGTTACATCGTGTACTAAGACCGATGGAAAATGAAAAGTTGCGATTTTCTAGGCTGATATGGCTAGGAATTATACTCTCATTCCGGCGTAATAATCAAGGAACTTTGCTCTCGTACCATGGGTGCAGCAGGCGCAATGATATTACGCAGTGCCTGAAAATAGTCCCCATCTAGGTAACTTCCAACGGAAGGCACGCTCCCTGTGCAAGCAGGTGGTCACGTTGGCGGAAGGCACTGCGTAATATCATTGCGGCTGACTCTGACACCGTTTCAGATAAACGTATCAAAACAATAATATTCTGAATATTTTACAGTTGTTTTGATACCTTTATCTCAAACAGTGTCAGAGTTTAATTAAAGTGGGTACAGTATATAAAAAAATGAAAAATATAGTTTCAGTACTATATATAAAAACAATAAAGGCATAATCTGAAAAACCAAGCCTTGTGCATTATAGGGAATAATATTCTGAATATTTTACAGTTGTTTTGATACCTTTATCTCAAACAGTGTCAGAGTTTAATTAAAGTGGGTACAGTATATAAAAAAATGAAAAATATAGTTTCAGTACTATATATAAAAACAATAAAGGCATAATCTGAAAAACCAAGCCTTGTGCATTATAGGGAATAATATTCTGAATATTTTACAGTTGTTTTGATACCTTTATCTCAAACAGTGTCAGAGTTTAATTAAAGTGGGTACAGTATATAAAAAAATGAAAAATATAGTTTCAGTACTATATATAAAAACAATAAAGGCATAATCTGAAAAACCAAGCCTTGTGCATTATAGGGAATAATATTCTGAATATTTTACAGTTGGTTTGATACTTTTAGATCAAATGGTGTTGTCGTTTAATGGATTTATATTATTGCCTACATTAAAAGTTGTACACTTATAAAAAACACACAATAGTCATTCCAAAAACGGAGCTTTGTGCAATAACAGGGATGTTTTTCCGAACATTTTTGTATTAGTTTTATATTATAATGTCACGTAGTTTAATTAATTTAAATTAATTAAAAAAATTTTTACATCCCCCCCCCCCACATTCAGAGTTACCGGTGATGAACCTGATCTGTCTCCACCACCGCGACACCCTGTAGGTCCAGTCCCGGAACGACTGTAACTGTTATTTTTACCGGTTGCTCAATCACAGACTTTTGATTGAGAGTCGCGGTCCCTCCAGTTTCTCCACTGCTCACCGTCTTCACCAAACTCAGCGCCGACACTCGTGGTTTCTCGACTCCGCGCGCCTCTAGGAGACTGAGGCCTCCATGACTTCACCGGTAGCTTTCAGTGTTGCCAGATTGGATGGACGATTTCCAGCCCAAAAGCTCACAAAAACCCGCCCAAAACTTTAACTGTCAAAGTAATGTTACAGAATATGTAAATCAAGGTTGATAAGGGCCATTTTAACTCCTTAAAACAAAATATTGACGACAAAATAGGCTAATATAAATTATAAATAAAATACATTTTGCAGGTAAACGGATCAAATCGGGGCGAAGACACTGTCAAAACGGCAATCATGAAATTAACCGATACCCTCGAAACAACACATGCATGATTTTCAGTGTCAGCAGTCAGAATAATCCAGTTTAAATGCAAAAAGTGCCCAACATAAGTGATAGCAAAAAGCAACGTAATTAGCAGGTATTTCACACTCGTTCATGCGCACACCATGACAGTCGACTCAAAACGGTGTCATTCATTGAAACTTAATTATAATCCGACAATTTAAAAAATAACAACAACAATAATGCGTGTACCTTCGTGTCGCTCTATAATTTTACACAGAACTAGAGGAAGCCTCTTGTTAAGTTCATATTGTAGAACATAATACAGAACTTTGCACAGTCAAAACTAATCAAGTCTAGCAGTTTTCAAGGATTTATCAATCTGGACGTTTAAAAGATAAAAGACATGCTCGTATAAACCGACATAGGCCTATTTAGTTTCTGTTATGAATAATTCAAATGTGCTCTGATCTCGGAGTTGCAGTGATGGGGCCTTCGTGTCATCTCACTCCACAATAATTCATGTTTTGAGAGTTGAGTCACTCTCCCACTTTTGAACTTATATTTAGGCATTGTGATTACTTGAATATACAGTCATACTACATTCAAAATCAGATAACTTGTCTCGCTAAAAACTTGTCACTCATGATGAATCATTCTGCTGGGCCCTCGTGATAAGTTAAGTGCTGCTGTCCACGTTTACATCAGCACCATAGTGTGTGCGTGTAGTAACGTTATGATGACTGATTGGATGCAGTAGCCTATCATACTTGGACTTGTTTTGTTAAACAATTAGCCTATGCAATTTATATTGAAAACCGCCAAACTGACCCCAAACCAGCCCAAATTTTGTTCACCCGCCCAAGCCAATTTTTACCCGCGCAATCTGGCAACACTGGTAACGTTACAGTTTGAACGGGTAACTGCTTTGAAATCGCCACACCATCCGCATAGAACTCATCTTCCCAGTCCGACATTTAAAACAAACATATAAGAGCACACATTTAATTAATCGACACTTCACTCCCGAACGACCACAAATCTCTGATCAGAAACTTCGATCAATATCCGCTCACGTGATCCCTTACTAAAATGCAACATGGCAACCGCAATTTACTGCTGTGAAAACCATAACGAATTAATATGGGACCTTTTGGAATCTTTTTGTGATTTTGATTATTATTACTTTTATTTATTTTATATATTTTTTTTTTTTACGGAATGGTAACTAAATTAAGTTACCATTTTTTTTGTTGTAACAGTGGTATTTATGTGGATGGCGTCGTTTTTTTTTTTTTTTTTTTTTTTTTACAGAAGAGAAAAA